ATGAGTGAGGCTAATGGTGTAGCAATGCAGAAGCCTGAGCCAAGAACACAGCCTTGAGCGGCTCTGCTGCCCCTGGCCTCGCTGCCGAGCGGGACACGTGAGTGCCCTCACATTCTCTCCCAGGCCGAGCACTGCCCCTCCAGCCCCCTCCTCCCCTCCCCTCCTCCAATCCCGCCTCTGCTAGCGAGCACCTTTCAGAGGCACTGCGAGCCACCTTTGGGGAGGAAGCGTGTGACAACATAGGATCTTCAGGGAAACCTGGCAACTTAGATCACAACTCAGACTTCACAGACCTAAACCATCTGCCCTTGCTTGAGCAAGGCAGAGGTGGGAGAGAAAGAGAGAGAGAGAGAGAGTGTGTGTGTGTGTCATTCAACACCTTTTGCTTCATAGAAATCACTCTCATTCTGGAACCCTCTACCATCCAGTTGGAAACAAACAGGGTCTTAACACAATAAGTTTTGCTGGGGGTGGGATGGGGGGAGGTGTGTGGGATGGTGGGGGGAGTGAGGGGGGGAGGGGGGTGTATTCCCCCATGAGTTTCAGGCCAGTTACGTGACGCTGCTCCTCAGGACACACCAACAGGCTGAAGCAGCAGGATTACACTGCGCCAATTACTGAAACACCCTGACACCTAACTAGGCTCCCCGGCAGTAGGCTGAAATGCACACCCTTCTGGACCAAAAGGCAGCTCAGGACCCCCAGTGGGGTTGGAGTGGGAGGGCTACCAGGGAACTACAGCTGAGGCCAGGGCCAGATTTTGGCAGCACCCCCAGCCTTTCCCCACGGGCACAGGTTTCTGCAGAAGGACAAAGCCCAGCTTTGTGGTGCACAGGCAGCCCGTGGCCAGCAGCTTTTCCATTATATGTAACCTCTCCTCCCTTCAACCAGCCACCAGACTCCCTCAAATCTGGGTGGGTGGCAGGGGCTGCAAAACCTCAGCCATTAAATCGCTTATGAGTTGCAGGTTTGTGTGGAGGGAGGGAAAGTATCGCAAGCCTGGAAGTCTAGCACTCTCTGCTCCACCCAAGGTGCCCAGGACACAGGGAAGGAAGGGTTACCATTCCCAACTACCTTGCAAAGCTTTAGACATAACCACTCGCTGATCCCTCAAGTCCCAATCTCAGAGAAAAATACATGGAAACAGCCCTTCCCCAAGCTCAAATCAGCTCCTAAAGTGGCCCTTATCTCTCAAAAGGGGGTATTCTGCCCCTGGGCCTGTGTCCCAGTTTCACTTTAACTCCCAAACCTCAGAGCCTGATCTGAAACAAACTTAGATGTGGCAAACGGGAGAAGGAAGGAAAGGGAGAGACAGGGTGTGTGTGTGTGTGGGGGGGTGGACTGGTTTTCCTGGAACCCTTATTAAATCAACTCTGTAAGGACAGCCAGAAACTGCAGGCCTCCCAGGTCCCTCAGGGGCGTTTGCAGAGACTGCCAGGATTGTGCTCAGTCCAGGGAGGGGCTGCCACCTCCCCTCCCTGTCCCCCAAAGCCTCCCCAAAGCTCTCAGTGCAAGTAAGGTCTGGGGTGGCTTGTTTCTAACTTCTGGACCAGTCTTTGTCACAGAGACTGCAATTGTTTTCGAAGACAATGGCAGCATTACTTAATAATTGGCGTGGCCAAGACTACAATATGCTGCATGCCTGTGAGGTTCCCAAAGAGTTTACACTGCACGAACAGAAACTACTCCACTCACAATTACAGTGGTTCTCAAAAGCAACCCCAGGAGCAGGGTGTGGTGGCATAAGCCTTTAATCCCAGCATCTGGAGGCAGAGGCAGGTGGATCTCTTTAAGAGTTCGAGGCCAGCCTGGTCTATGTAGTAAGTTCCAGGACAGCCAGAACTACATACAGAGACAAAGAAAGTTAAGAAGAGAAATGAAATTATACAGTGACCCACGTGGGCATCACAGGTGAATCGATTCATAGTCACCAGAAGACTTCTTCCATTACATGAAATCCTAGAACAAGCAAGCAAAACTAAAGTGACAGGAGGCAGGTCAGACTGCAGGAAGCATGGGGAAAGCTTTTAGAACGATGAACAGACCTCTTGACTGGGGTGGTAGTTACACAGAGTGTAACCCTTGTGAAAACTCACTGAGCTGCCTTTCTAAAACTGGCACATTTTATACTACATTAATTATATTTCAATTAACTGACTTTAGCCTTGACTACCCCCTCCCACTCCTCCCCCTTCCATTCCCGAGCCTTTAATCCTGTTCTCGGGAGGCAGAGGCAGGAGGATCTCTTGGAGGCCAGCCTGGTCTACAGAGCACCAGAACAGCTAGGGCTACACAGAGAAACCCTGTCTCAATAAACAAACAAACAAACAAAAAGATCTTAGGACCCCTAGTTCCAATGTCCATCATTGCCTCTGCTTTCTTTCTCATGTTGGATCCATGCTCTGCAGCTTCAATGACCCTTTTCCTGTCCACTTAAAATTCCTCAACCGGAATTAGCTCAGCAGCTAAGAGCACTGGCTACTCTTTAGGACAACCCAGGTTCAATACCTAACACTCACACGGCAGCCCACAATTGTTTGTAACTCCAGTCCCAGGGGATCTGACACCCCCCCCCCCCCACAGACAAAACACCAATGCACGTGAAAAATTATAAAAAATAAAATCATTTAAAACTCCTTGTGTGAGGGCCTCTCAGAACCGGTGTACAAGTCCTTCAGGTGTGATCTGAGCTGCCTGCCTTTCCTCCTGGGGCTGTAAAGAGTTTATTAGAGAAAGAAAGAAGGGTGGAGGATGAGGATGAAAAGAAGAGAGAGGATCAGAGGTGGCAGGAAGAAGGGTTGGCATCCAACTACTTAAACCCATGGGTTCTCTTTCTGGAGTGCCATGACTTTCCGGGGTTCCCAGTCTCAGTACCTGTGACTGACATTCAGCAGAAACTTCCATCTCTCTTTGTGACATCAGTAGCAGATGCAATGAGACCATTTACACTTTGCATGGAAACATTTTATCTGTATGGTGACATTTAAGCCTTTACTACTGTTTCTGGTGCCACATACTACAAGTCAGTTTTCTGAAAACCGGATCACATCCGTAAACTTTCTCAGCAAGAGCCATTTCAATATATGTGAAGTTCTTTAGCCAGCCACGAGCCTTCTGCATGCCAGCTGAATCCAGTTTTTCCAGGTGTTACTTTCCACAGCTATTTACTCAGTGAGCAATACCGCTGTGTATACATCTTAAACCTCTCAACTTCAGAATGCCACTCATTAACCCCCTTGGAGACCTGTACCTTGCTACCCTGAGGTAAGATTACAGGTAAATACCTGTAATCCCAGCACTCAGAAGGCTGTAGTGGGAGGATCGTGAGACCAGCCAGGGCTACACAGCAAGATCCTATGTCAAAAACAAAAAGATAAAAGACCTCTACTTTCTTTCCTTTTTGTTCTTTTGAGACAGAATCTCTCTGTGGAGCACTGGCTGGCTATACAGGCCAAATCGGCCTCAGACTCAGAGATATGTTCCAAGTGTTGGGATTAAAGGCATGTGCCCCCATGGACAGCAGGATCCTGACGTCCCACATATACTTCATTCAGTTCTGTGCATGCCATCCCCCTTGCATTCTGCTATAACTTCACCGTGCAATTGAACTATGGTCTGTTGGGGCTGGAGGGATAGCTCAGCTGTTACAAGCACTTGCTGTTCTTTCAGGGGGAAGTGAGATCCCAGCACCCACATGGAAGCTCAAAATCATTACTGTTTTGTTTTGGTTTTTTGAGATAAGGTTACTCTGTATAACAGCTCTGGCTGCCCTGGAACTCACTCTGTAGCCCAGGCTGGCCTCAGAACTCACAGAGATCCACCTGCCTCTGCCTCAGAGTCCTGGGATTAAAGGTGGGCACCACAACTGCTCAGCACCAACAATCATTCCTAACTCCAGTTCCCAGAAGATTCATGACTCCTCTTCTGGTCTCTGTAGGCTCCAAGCGTGTATGCAGCACTCATGCATGCATGCAGACAAAACACTCATACACATAAGATAAAAATAAACAAATCTTTAATATATAAGTAGATACAGTCCGCTTCATATCTGTCATCTCTTCACTGCGTGGTGGTAACTGTACAGCTATATACCCACACTTAGAGCCCCACAGGTGAGTCTCTGGCATGTTCTAGCTTATACCTGTCTTTGGCTCTGCTACTGAACACAACACGCCTATTTCAGCCGCTGCACCATTTAGAAAACTTCATAGACTCCTGCCAGCTTTCTCAGCACGTCTACTGATCATCAAGCAGGTCCCTGACAGCTCAGGACGGCCTTGTAATTCCAGCCACTGTTGTCATGTACACCCCAAGCCTTTAACCCACTCTATCAGTGACCTTCTCTGCCACCAGGCACCAAACTCTCAAGCCTTTTGATAACAGAAAGGTCCCAGCATTTATCCTCCAAGCCCTTTTGAAGCCATGGGCATCTTGGGAGCAGTAACAACTTCTGGCAACCTATAACACACCGTAGGGCAGCAGGGCCTCATTATGCTCCCTTGCCCCATTGTGCTTCTTCCACGTCCTTCAAACAGGCCATCTCCAAAGCAAACTGCTCCTCAGGCTCCCCAGATAAGACCTGAGAGACAAAGTCCAAAAAGGCATGTGCTCGTGACTGCTCGCCCTTTCAGGAGACATATCACTGGAAAAGCTTTCTGGAAGCCAGAGGCCATTGCCCCGAGGATGCCTGCTCCAAGTCTGTATTCATGTCACTCTTCCCCACTGCAACACACACCCCTTTTCATGATCATCTGAGTTAAAAGATCTGATTACGTGGTTTTCCCAGAAAGGAAGCATTCCTAAGGACCTCTCGTCTGGCAGGCAACCTCTGATGAAGTTGTTTAGGTATATGTAACCAAGTCCAAATCGGCCCAGGTAGCTTAGGCATTTCTCTGATGGCGAAGGAGCCCTTTGCTCCTCCAAAGGAGGAAGTCTTTCTAGTTGACCACATCACCTCCATGTCAGCAGCCCTCCCTGGCTCCTCCGTTCAGGGGTCTTACCTTGTTCCGGCAAGGTCGGGGCTGGCCTGGCAGTGCAGAGTGTGGCTGTGACCAGCACAGCCCAGAAGAGGAGGCACCTCCAGCCCCACATCCCAGTTCTGCGGTTAGAGGTTGGTGACAAGGCTCCACACCTCCATGGATACTCCACCTTCGCCGGATCTGCCTTTGCAAGCTGACTCTGGGGAGAGAAACAGCAGCTATAGAAACTGGAGAGGAGAGGGGCTCGGGAAAACGAAAACGTGTCTGTGATCAACCTGTGATCAAAGTACAATGATACTTTTTAAAAAAAATTAATTTATTCTCTCATATATTACATCCTGACTGAAGTTTCCTTCCCTCCCTTCTTCTCCTCCTCCCTCCCCATCCACTCCTCCATTCCCTTCAGAAAAGGGCAGGCCTAGGCCTCTCAACCAGACATGGCATATCAAACTGCAATAAGATTAGGCACCTCCCTTCATATTAAGGCTGGATGAGGCATCCCAGCAGGATGAAAAGGGTCCCCCAAAGCAGGCAACAGCATCAGAAACAGTGCCCTACACCCTCTGTCAGGGGTCCCACAAAAAACATCAAGCTACTCAACTATAACACATATACACAGGGCCTAGGTCAGAGCCATGCATGGCTCCTCCTTGTTAGTTCAGACTCAGTGAGCCCCTGTGAGTCCAGGCTTGTTGATTCTATGGGTTTTCTTGCAGTGCCCTTGACACCCCCCCCCCCAGCCCCTAACAATCCCAGGAGGTGCAAAAGAGAATTGAGCCTATCCCAATGCCAAATCAGAGGTAACAGGTCTTAATGAGGCTTCAGTCCATGATATGCCTGCTCCCCCAATGGGACACTTTTGGGAGGTGATGAGCTCTTTAAGAGTCAGTTGAGGGCATGCCCTTGCAGAGGATCACAGAAGCCCAGTCTCACATCCAGCCTCATCGGGAGTGAATGGGATTTCTCCACAACCAAGCAAACTCGGCACACTGGCTTTCATCACGTGTATGCTCAAAAGCAACAGTCAGCCATACACAGAAACCTACAAAACCGAGAAGTAAGTAACCCTTTTTCTCTTCTTCACTTGATGGCCTCAGATATTTTGTTACAGTGATGGGAAGCTGGATTCCACCCTTCAGTTCTACAGCTACGTTTTGAGCCAAGCTGGCTGGGAAGGCCACCATGAAGTCCTTCGAGATAAAAGCCCCACTCATATATGAGAAGAAGTGAAGGAAGTCTTGAAAGTCCCAAAAAGCCATACTGCGATCAAGGGTTGAGAAAAGTGTTGTGCGGTTTCAGGTCCCAAGTACCTTCGGCGAGGTGGGTTAATTATTGTAGACGTGGCCAAGCCCAAGGACCACCACATCCAAGCTGTCCCCAAAATGGCATCAAGAAACCCCAGTAACAAAGCTGGGTGTGATGGAGCACTCCCCTAGTCCCAACGCTTGGGAAGTAGAAGCACGAAGATCTCGAGTTCGAGGTGGGACATCCCAGGATAGCCAGTGCTACACAGAGAAACCCTGCCTCAAACTCCCAAGAAAAGACACCCGAGCCACAAAGATATGAATCTCTCAAGACAGACAAACAACACAACGGCAATGAGCGCCCGTGCTGAGGCCATTAAGGGCTTTCTGAAGCCTACGGAGGTTAAGCCCAAGATGCCAAAGAGTCCCAAACACAAGGCAGCCAGACTTGCTTTTACCATCCATCCCAAGCCTGGGAAATGGATTCGTGGCTGCGTGGCCAAGGGTTGCAGGCTGTGCCAACCAAAGGCTTAAGGCCCAACCAAGGCTGCAGCTGCAGCTGCAGCTCAGGCTCCCAGAGGTATCTAGGCCCCTGTGAAGGCCCGAGGAAAGGCCTTTATCTCTCAATGTGAAAGTAGATGGACTGGTGTGAGCCCCGCCCCTCAACCTCTATCACATACATGTGCTATTTATAGACAGTTGTTGTCCTATGAAAACTAAAAAACAAAACCAAACAATAACAACAAGAAGAGGAAGGAAGGAAGGAAGGAAAGAGGGAGGGAGGGAGGGAGGGAGGAAGGGAGAAGAGGGAGGGAGGCAGAGAAGGAGGAGAAGGAATGAAGAAAAGATAGGAAAAGAAACAGAAACAGGTGGCAGGTGCTAGATCACAGCTTCAGGTCACATGGAATGTGGAGATCCTGAGACACCTCCCTGGACATACGTAAGAAGATGCCAGGGATGGAATCCAGGGCCTTTCAGAGGCCAAGCAAGTGCTCTTCCACAGAGATCCACCCCCAGCTCTCCCAGGTCTTTCTTTGCGCCTCTAAAATGATAAGACTCACAGGAACCTCCAGTTCTATAAGACTCCCTCCCAGAGCATGCATGCTTCTCGGCTACTTGGGGTGAAGACAGAGCAGGACGCTGTGAGGCAGCTCCAGCTATTACGGATGGCTGATGGCTAACAGCAGTGGGTGGAGAAGTCAGGGTGAGGTGGAAGAAGAAGGCCCTACCCAGGCAGAGTCAAGGGCCACTGAAGAGGCTGACTCAAAGGTGGCTTACCCAGCCCTAGCTAAAGCCAAGCATTCTGCAGCCCTTGACCTTTTCGGGTTTGTGATGGTGATTTGTTGATATTGAAAATGCTTTATTTTATTTATTACTGTTGTATGTGTGTGGGGGTGGGGTGGGGTGGGGGACATGACTGTGTCACAGCATTCATGCAAAAGTCAAAGGACAACTCCATGGGGTCAGTTCTCTCCCTTATGTTGGTTATGGGGACCAAAGTCAGGTTGGCAGGCAAGCACCTTCACTCCACAAGCCATCCTGTCACTAGGCCTGTGGTGGTGGAATGTAAAAACTTCCAAGGGTCCTAAGGAAAGCATGACTGGCCGCACAAACACCCACCAAGTGACAAGAACTCACGGGGCCCTGTGCATGGGGGTGACCACCTCTCTTTTCCAGGTGTTTTCTGTCCTCAGGGCTCCAGGAAACCATCCAAGCTATTCGGAGAATCTGCTTCCGGAACATGCCCTAATGTGGTGTTTCTGCCCGGCCTCCCCAAGCCAGGAGGGGCCCCTCTCTAGTGAGTCAGTCCTTGGCTGGCAGAAAACCCCCAAATTCTTGGCCAGCGGAGTATGTATGCACTGCCACTAGCTGCCTCCAAAGGCTTACCAAAAAGAAAGAGAAAAAAGAAAAATTGAATAATTTCAAACCAAAAGTAAAGTAAATATTTCTCTTCCGTATTCTTCTTTCCCCCTGAATTTAGGAAAGGGACTAGAAATGGAAGGAATATTTGCTGAGCACTCAGTGGAACCGACACAAATAAAATACACTTATAACTACGGAATTTCCTTTTTCTTCCTGCTCTGCTTCTAAGGGACAGTACCAGCCTCTGCTAAGACATAAACTGAAAAGCCCAAGAACTTAGGTACTCTGCCCAAGGAAATGGTGACACTAAACTTGATCACTCGGGGTTTGGGGGCTGTTAATTCAAGGTGGGGGATGGTAAATAATGTGACCACACGTAACTGGGGTACGGCTCAGAAGAACAATTGTTAGCTAGCACACGGAGGCTCTGCGTTCATCTCCAACACAGAAAAGATGAAAAAAAAAGAAAAAAGACTGGTACGGACACAGGTGGATTCCCATACACAAGAGGATAAGGACAAATCCAAGTTAATGCTAGAAATTGCAAGTTCCCGACTCTCTATTTCTCTGGTGGACAGAAAGATCTTTAGAAACAAATCACTCAGGGTCCCGGGGTCAGACACCACCTCAGGCCTGAAGACACCTCTGAACCCACACCTCACATTCCAAAGATGAATCTAATCAGTATAGGCCTGTTACCCGGAAAGGTACATTTGACAGCAAAAACCTAAGTCCACAGTAACCCTGACCACTAAGCCTTTAGTGTCAACAAAGGGTGGGTGGGAGGGGGTGGTGTCACCCTGAGCTGACCTGCATTGATTACACTGCAGCAGACCTCAGCTTCCACCTGTCCCCCTGTCCCCTGAGCTATCTGCCCACCTAACTCCTCTCGGCCTTTTGTCCCCGGTGATGGATGCGCTTCAGACACTTGACACTATTCTGGCACCTTCTTCCCTCAGACCATGCCCAAAAGAGGTACAAGAGTTCCTCCTGCCTGGCCCTCTTCTACCCTCTGGGCCTCAAGCTGCACAACAAAAGTACGCTGTAGACACCCGGCACCAACTCCAAGAATGAAAAGGTTGCTGGGCGCGCGCACGCACGCACGCACGCACGCACGCACGCACGCACGCACAGCCCTGCACACCTGCAGGACACGCTGTGACACAAACCAATGCTGAATCCAAATGCTGTTGTGAAAGCCCAGAGACAGGCACCTTGTCCCTTAGGAACGGCCTCCTGCCTTCACTGCTTGACAGATGTAACCCGTAGCCTGGCAGCTGTGTGCAGCGGTTTGCCTGTAGTGCTACATCTGTTTCTACATCAGCCCCCCTCCACACACACACTGTCGGGTGAGGCTCCCAGAGCCCAAAGCCCGGTCGCCTAGGCGACGATGTCTTCAACCACACGGCCAAAATATCTGTCCTGACTATATCCGGGTGGTTACAAGGACCAAATTGGACAGTGTGGAAGTGGGAGTGTGACTTCTAAAGAACTTCATGCAATGGCAGTACTTGTGCCTGTAATTCTAAAGGTATTAAAAAGTCTATTGACATCAAATCTCTTTGTCTAAAAATGACGCAAGAAAACTAGCAGATGCATTCAGGAATATGGTCTCTTCCTCCTCCTCCTCCTCCTTTTTTTTTTTTTTGGTGGGGGTGGGGAACACCGTTTCTCTGTGTAGCCCTGACTGTCCTAGAACTCGATCTGTAGACCAGGCTAGCCTGGAACTCAGATCCACCTACTTCTATCTCCGGAGTACTAAGATTAGAGGCCTGCACCACAACTGGCCAGCTTTAAAACAATTATTCTTAGATTTATTTATTTTATGTGGATAGGTGCTTTTCCTGCTTACATGTCTGTGTACCACATGTGTGCCTGCAGGGGCCAGAAGAGAGCGTCAGATCTCCCCGAAACTGAAGTTAAAGATTGCGAGCCACTGTGTGGGGGTGCTGGGAACCAATCCCAGATTCTCCAAAAGAGCAGCCACCTCCGAAGACCCCAAACTCTTTGTACCCCAGCCACTCCTTGACAACACTCTCCTATAGGACACAAACCTCCTCTTTTTCCACAGGTATTTATTTTGTACCCTCCA